AGCAAAATGTGCTGTTTTTACGCCAAAACGATGCCAACAACATTGGAGACGAGTCAAATCTCTTTTAAACTGCGTATGGACGAGATATTATCGCCCATTATTAATGTATTTCCTCATGCTTTACTATGAGGAAAAAAGAGGAATAAAGTATGTCCAATGGCGTCCATTGACATGTAGTGAATTTGGGTCATAACGCGTATGTCCTCAATCAATTTTGTCCACTCAAGAGTATCGTGAAAAGACTAATTTCATAGATATTTTTTCTTGGCTTTCCGTCGTAAGTTTTAATGATCGTGCATTTCAAATTTTTGTTTCTAACTTTGTGTCTAACTTTGCGTTTACCTTAATGTTAATGTCTACCTTTGTTTGTACCGTTTGTACCTTCCCCAAGTGTCTGATCTTCAATGTACATATAGCTGCCTAAAAATCTTAATATAGTTTTCATAGCAGTCCTAAACCACATATTACCAATATAGAGGCTACAAGCCATTGTCAATGGAAGATTCTTATTAGGAAGAAGATAACTTATTCTACGTTTTTATTTATTTAGTATTTCTCCCAATTTTGTTTAAAATACGAATAAGCTATTCTGTCATTAATGGGGAAGAAGTTGAAGCAGATGTCACGAGCCTTTCAGTAATTCACATATATTATAAGTATAGTAATCATTATATCAACACCTCTAACACTCAAGCCAAGTGATTTCATTCTCCTTTCCAGCGTCCGTTTTTCGACTCCTGTGATTCGTCTAATTTCAGCCCCTTTAAAGATTTGCTAAGGAAGAAAGCTAACTTGTTCTTTGTTAACATCGATTGAAGGTCGTCCACGACTTCGTGCGTCACGTGGTGAATATGCAGTCGCAATTACTCTATTAAGGCAGTTATAAGCTGTGTTTAGCAATTCCAAAAACAATTTATCGACACAGAGGCTGATAACTCTAGTTTTGATCATATCTCTCCTTAAAAGTAAACAATCAATTTCATCTGGGTTAAATATTGCGTCCAATCTTGTTACTAGATACTGGACTACTTCTAACATTTCAGTCGAATCTTGTGTAGATACATCCACTCTCTGTTATTCCCCCTCCAATTTTACTTAATATGAAATTGGTAAGCATAATACGGAGGCAATAATGAGCCTGCATTGCAATTGAGAGAAGATTAGTGGAATTATAGTATGGGCGGTGATTTTATTTTATGGACTCGAGTATGTATGCTCAAAATCATTCAAATAAACATAATTAATTCATTATCTTTTATGCCAAATCATAAACACATTCAATGGATTTTTTGAAGTACTTTGTTAGTTGATGGAAATAAATATTGGGTCCTTTGGCATTCACTGTTATCCGCATGTGCTTTATCTGACCACCGTGCATCAGAATCTGTGTTTCCACGTACCTCCTTGAAAATAATTTTGTCGGAAATTGTACGCCTGCACAAACCGCCAATATTCAACTGTAATGAAATTTGAGCATTGATGTAAACTATTGTCGCAAATGCAATTTTTAATGTCGCAAATGCAAACTTTAATGTTGCTAATGCAAACTATAATGTCCCGAACGTCAACTATTGTCCCGAATGCAAACTTTAATGTCGCGAATGCAAACTTTATTGTTGCTAATGCAAACTATAATGAAGCGAACGTCAACCTTTGTGTCTACCCCAGTGTCTACCTTTATGTCCACCTTTGTGCTTATCCATGAGTCCACCTCTGTGTTTACTTTTATGTTTACCTTAACGTCTACCTTTATGTCTACTTCTGTGTTTAACTCCATGTTTAAATTCACATGTCCACTTTTGTTTTTCCCTTTATGTCTACTGTTGTGTCTATCTGTGTCAAAAAGACATGAACAACATTCTAAAAGACGACATTAGCGACATTTAGAAAAGACGACATGAACATCATTTCAAAAAGACATTATGAACGACATCAAAAAGACGACATGGACGACATTTCGAAAGGACCACGTGATTATACGACCATTAATTACACCTTTACCACAGAATATTAAAATTTGTAAGAGACGACTTGAACGGTATTTCAAAAAGACGACATGAAGACATTTCGAAAAAACGGCATGAACGCAATTTAAAAAGACGACAGGAACGTAATTTCAAAAAGTTGCTATTCCATACGAGACATAATTTGATTAAGTCGTCATTTACATGAGTGGTCATTTCATTTTGGTGAGTCATTTTTTCAACGTTTTTTCTTTAACTTTGTGTCCACTTTATTGCCTACCTTTATGTCTATCTTAATGTCTACCTATGTGTCTACTTTAATGTCTACTTTTATGTCTACTTTAATTTCTACCTATGTATATATACCTTTATGTTTACCTTTATGTCTACCTTTATATCTATCTTTATGTTTACCTTCGTGTCTACCTTTATGTTTACCTATTGTCTAAGTTTTTTTGTATCGTTCTATCTAATGTTTGTGTCTACCTTTATGTCTATTATTATCTAAAGTACAACCAATATGTTATCCTTGTTTTTGTGATTAATGCTTAGCGTTTGGACTGCGGATAAATTTGTCTTATTTGGTATAAGGATGTGATACACGAATGTATAGCTGAAATTTCAGTACTTATGTATCTGCTATGAGAGTGTGCAAACAAAATCATTCAAACTGAAATGTTTTTGAGTTGGAATGTTGAACATTATTTGCTTTTTGAAAATGGCTTATGACGTCATTATCAAGATCTGTGAAGAAATATTGTAGCTACATAATAAATTAGTAAAATAAGTACGCAGTCCACACACAAAGGTAACATGAAATTCATGCCAGATTCGAAATTCACAAGACAAGAGAAAAACATGCAGAAATCCAATGTGTACAAAATTTAAACAACCGTTGTCTTATGACTTGCAATTGAATCAACCTGAAAAAAATATTTTTACATTCACTTGATAAATGAAAATTTGTGCAGTCTTATCACTATAAAGTCAGCATCAATCCCAACAACAATTAGCTATAACAAAAGCAGATAGCACTAATCTTTACAAGTTGTTGATACTGGTAAAACAGAAATATCGTAACGACATTTCTCGAAAAGGATCCGAGAAAAAGCAAACTAAAATATCAAGAGACAATAAAATGTAGAGAACAGTGGCGAAGCTGGTTGAGATAACAAGGTCATGCTCATACGCTAGTGCACAGCCCACGAGGCGCCACCATGGTTGGCGCCGAGCGTCAAAAATTTTGAAAATTAAATGCCTTAAACTCCCGGAAAACGCTTTTTTTGGTTTTTATTTACGCTTCGTACAACCGTTTAAATTTATTTTTCAAATATCCTTCAGTCTTGGACTGTTTCGCCCTATGTCAGGGCTCATCAGCATGCCTAGGAAACACACAACACATCCACTCTGGAAGTATAAAAATGTGATTCCGACATAGACAGCCCTCATTAGAGCCTTTTTAATGAGCAGTCTGGTTTTAAGGCGCCAGATTCTCGCCCTCACACCTCAGTTGAAAAGAGGAATTTGGTTAGAAATGGGAGACCATCTGGGACATTTTTAAAGAATGAAAATGCTCAATTCTCATCTTATCCCGGTCTTTTTCCAACCCTTTAAAACCATTTCACAATTTTCCAGAAAAGTTTAACCTTTATCGAGGCACATTTTTAAGCGCAGTTTATTTGGTTTAGTGATTATTGCTGATCTGCTTCAGAGGAGACAAATGGTTGTATCAAGTGCAATAACTAATTATCAAAAACATACATTTTCAAAGATTTGTTTTTGGTTTGCTTAAAGCAGCATTAGAGAGTGAAAAATGAGCCATGCAGACTCATTTGTATGAAAAATTTAGTCTGCGAGGTTTTTTAATAAACTTATCCAGGATGGCTGGATGTAATTGCTTTGATCGTCTTTTGCTTTTAAAATATCTTTATGAATTGAAATTCTGCATAATGAGCCAAGGCGTTCATCCCCCATTGAATTCCTTAAAAAAGTTTTCACCCTATTTAAACATGAAAACGATCTTTCAGCTGAAGCACTAGAAATGGCAATAACAGCGTTAAGTTTCAATAATTTAACAAATTCGGTATACACTGGTGAATACCAATGTGATAAATGTATTTCAATAATTCCATGGAGTTATCTTTTAAAAAATCTTTATCTTGGTACACAAAAAAAAGTTGACTTCGAAGCCTAGGTATATTAAAGAGAGGACCATATTTTGCTGATAGTTGTTGAATTTTTTCATTAGGAATAGCTGTTTTCCACTGCACAAAAAGTTTAGGATTGACTAAGTCAAGAAATGAAAAGCTCTCTGCATCCGTGAATCTTTCCTTAAGCATATTTGTTACACAATCAATGACTTCGTAATAGAGCTGTTTAAAATTTATATTTATATTTATCTCATATTTTCGAGATGGAGGACCAGTTTTACTTTCAGTTGCAGAATAACAAATTTCAAAAGCTGTTTCATTGCTGAGGGAAATTAGAAAATTACCAAATTCTTCAATTTTTCTCATGCCAAATGCATAATCAGTAGACCTATTTTGTAGAATATCATATAAAATGGCTGATCTCTCCAAGATTTGGTAGTAAAGTAGTAAAAGGAAACAAAAAAGAAATGATTCAAGGTAGTGGAGGAGGCCATCAGTACGTGTACTTGTTTCATCAGTCCATTTCCAAGGATTTTCACTTATCCCTGTAAAGGCTTTCACTAGTGTATCATAATTATTAAAATAGCAGACACAGCTCGAGATTTGAAATACCACCTAGTTTCCCCTGGAGCAGGTATATCAACCCCATGAGATTTCAAATGGGATTTTCTTTCAGGACTGGAATTTGTAAAGGTGGAAAATGCAGAAACATTAGCAAAAAATATTTTCACCTCCTTAATTTTCAAAGCAGATTGACATAAAACCAAATTAAGCCTATGTGCTGCACAATGAAAAAAATAAGCATAGGGGTACACCTGTCTTAAAATTGCCTGTAAACCATTTAGATGACCACTCATCACAGATGCCCCATCATAAGTCTGCATCACTAATTATCCTCTCCATATCTCTCTAAGATGCCTTTAACTATATCACTAATACCTTGTGCACTTCGGTCGGTACTAACATTTCTAAATTTTAAAAATCTTTCCACAATTTCACTCCCTTTATCTAGTCGAATAATGGCACTGAGTTGTGCTTTTGCTGTAACATCAGTTGTTTCATCAACTTGAATGCTAAAAAACTGACACTCTTTCATTTCATCATCAATCTCATCCTGAATGACTGAGTCAATACACTCAATTAAATCATTTTGGACATCAGCTGAAACCCCAGTAAAAACTCCACCTTCATCCACTCTCTCTGTACCTTGCAGTCTACCTTGCAAACGACGGTCAAAAACAGAATCCAATTTTCCAAAGCATTTTAGTAATTCTCTATAATTACCCTGGTTAAGACTAGCCCTGCTCTCATCATGTCCTCTAAATGCTAATTCCTGTTTGGCAAGATATAAAACTGCCTCCCCAATATTTTTAGCATCTCTGTTTTGCCTTACCTCCTCATTGTGCCTCTCTACTGCTTCTCGCCGAGCTCTCGAAAACAAAACATCAACACTCTCTCTCGAATCAAATAACCTCCACTGTTTGTATGCCTCCATGTGAGATTTTGTTTTCTCGTGTTTTATGCTGTCACCACTAAAACTATGCATGTTATGATAGCCTGTTGAAGCCCATGGAGACTTTCTAGGGGAAGAATGAAACAAAAGACATGGCCAGCAAAACAATCTATTCTTCCTCACACTACCACATAGCCAGTCCTTGTTCGAATACCAACTTTCTTGAAAGCTCCTATCATTCGTCTTTAGTGTAAGCTTCGGTATCGGCCTTGACATGCGAGCTATTTGTTTCTGCTCACTAATATTTCGTGAGGAAAACGATCTCTCTACCAGCTCTGCTACTATATCCTGACCATCAAAGGGGGAAAAGGAAATCGTCGATTGATTTTGCTCAACTCCTTCCATGACCGAAATAAACAATCGAAGTATCGTCAAAACAATCAAACTCCTGCGATGAGTTCATGGCATGACTTCCGCATGACTTTTGGCGGAAGTATGCAAGAACTTAGCCTAATTTGGCCAATCAAAGAAGCGTATTTTCGAAGGAAGTCATGCTCTCAAGTGGAAAGCAGGAGTTTCAAACGTCATCAATAAGCAACGTATCCAGCGCTCAGGTGGCTAAGGTTTTCCCAATTGCGGGCTTTTTTGCGTAACACAACGCGTGGTCCAAAAACTCAAGCGCATTTCTTCCATGCACTTTATTGTAAAAGCCTGCAAACCAAAAGCTACGTCTTACAGACAAATCAAAGAATTAATTATCCAAAAAAAGTCAAAATTGCCGTAAAAGTAAGTCATGCTCAGCATGACAAGCATGACCTCAAGCTACGCCACTGGTTATTTTTAAAATTTGGCTCCACGCGGCAAAATCTATCGTCATTTCAAGACTAACTCACAATTAACTAATTAGTCTACATGTTTATGACTTATCGTTTATGACTTCCTTGACTGCTATGCGACTTTCCGTCATTGTTATAATAACAAATTAAATCTTTATTTAAAGAGTCAGATTGTGTTTTGCGTAAGTTTGATTTTAGTAAATAAGCTCACAAGTTTTTAAGTGATTTCAAAATGCAACTTTTGTGAGTCATAGGATGATCTTTAATATGTCTTTAAAATTTTGCAATTACCCATAGTACTATAACAGGGGTGGGCAATTTCTCCAGTCGGCGGGCCGGATTTAGGAAAATGAAGTTATTGGTGGGCCGGATTATTACATGAATAATATTCAATATTCAATGGTCGGATACAGTCGGCGGAATTGTTAAATACACAAAACATTTCATCAGCATGCATGGTGAAGGTCTATATTGCTTGATATATATACATTATCCATTGCAAAAGGTTTATTACACAAGAAGAAAATATACATGACAGTCAGTTAGTGGGTTTTATTGATATTTCATCAAGTATTTTCTATGTAAAAATGTTTATTTTCAATGTACATACAATCTTGCCTGCCAATAAAAATCTAGCTATTGTTTGATGATTTAAAAAGTAGAAAAAAATGAATAAAACTCTCAAGCTTTAGACAAAGATAGTCTAATAAATCACAAAGGCATAAATAAAAGTTTCATATCTAAGGCTCATTAACAAATATACCCAATAGTTTTTATAACTCAGTTTTTTGGAAGGCAGAATTAAAAACAAAAAAGGGTTTTGTGTATAGCTGTGAATATAAAATGTCACAAGCAGAGAAAAGACAGTTTCTGGATTACATGGCTACTAACTATGATGACTCAAAGAAATGTTTTCTAATGATAAAAATGTCCATCACTGTCACCTTTTACAAATATGTGTGACTTATGTCTTTATGAACACACTTCATTAAAGCATTTCACTCAGCTGTTATAAAGAGAAACGTAACGACCTTTTCCTTTGTTACCCTTAATCTTTCAGTTATAAATTCTGTAGAAGCAAGGCCATTCAGTTATTTAAATCCTTGCACATAGAACACAATCTGAATCAATTTGAGAAGAGTTCATAGTTTCGTTTGCCCAAGTCCATTATATATAATTGGTACATGAAAGAAAGCAGTCCTTGCCGAGACGCATATCACTCATCAACATCGTACTGTTATACACAGAACATAAGGGTCGATTTTCTTGAGAAAAGTCCAAAGCATATGCTACAATTTAATTCGGTTACCATGACACCGTGAATTGTTTATTAATTTTTATTTTCGCATCATAAATATCCGTAAAAACGACAATAGTTTGCCATATTTTAAGATTTTACATAAGCCAAGAAATTTTTCTTCATTTTAAAGTCATTTTATAGTTCACTTGCCCGCCATTACAAAGCATAAATTGATTTAACTTTATGTCATTTAACGTAAACAACACTCCACGCAATTTCCACGCAAGTTAACTACGCAGTTACTTAACTATCCCACAAACTACGTTTTGTGCAACGCAGTTAAGTCGAGCAGTTAAGTTACTACAGTTAAGGAGTTAACTACGGTAGTTAGCGTTAACTATAGTTAAAGTTAACTACGTTTTTATACAACCGGCCCCAGGAGTTTCAAACGTCATCAATAAGCAACGTATCCAGCGCTCAGGTGGCTAAGGTTTTCCCTAATTGCGGGCTTTTTTGCGTAACACAACGCGTAGTCCAAAAACTCAAGCGCATTTCTTCCATGCACTTTATTGTAAAAGCCTGCAAACCAAAAGCTACGTCTTACAGACAAATCAAAGAATTAATTATCGAAAAAAATCAAAATTGCCGAAAAAGTAAGTCATGCTCAGCATGACAAGCATGACCTCTAGCTACGCCACTGGTAGAGAAAACGAGAAGACGTCATAATATTTTAGCGCAACATAGATAAATGGATAATTATGTGCACAGTAAATATGCAATTGTTGACTCACCATTCAAAAAAGTACTAAGTTTTTATGATTCACATGGTGTGACAGTGCATGAAATGTGCGCTAGAATAAGATTAATTTCTTGCTACAAATCAAGCACGCTAGATATTATTTTGCTTTTGATCATCGAGTTAGAGTATCTTCTCAGACTGCATAGACTAATAAAAGCTAAAAGGTAGCATATCTGTCTTAATATCGAAGGATGATGATGACTACTATCATTTTACGATTTTGATAACATCATCTGACTCATATCGCAAAATGAAATGGTGAAAAACTCATTCATTGTATCCTTACCTAATTTTGGAAACAATTAAGAAAAAGCAAAAGAAAAAACCCCTGAAAAATAGGTTATACATGTCGTTAAACTATCACAATATAACAGATGTGCAGATAGCGATACATGACAAAACCTTGCATAAATGACGCAACTTGAAGAGAGATTTACAAGTTTATTACGACAAAACATGCGTCACAGTGAAGTAAAAATCTATTTTCAAAAGAAGTCATTTGTGTAGTCATTAAAAAGAAATCCTTTACTAATCGTTTTCACTAACTAAACTCAAAAATTCTGAAATTTCTAAATGTTTATGCACTTAAAGTCACCATCGGAGTTGTATTGTTGCTCAGAAATAAGACGTGTTGGAAGGGACGTTACTCTTGAGGAAAGATCTGCTAAATTTTTTGCCTCGACTGTTACAAACAGTATTTCTCCTAAAGACAAACCATATCTGTCACCGAGATCGTTAAACTCTGCTACGTCCGTGATATCAACAGATTTAAATGGAACAACATCCGTTCCATATTTTGATCGACCAATTGCAATACGGAATCCGCCAATTTCAGACTCGCGATCGTAAAATCCCGACCAGTAGATTCGTAATGTCATGTTGATGAAATGACAGTAAGTGTGCTTACGAAGACGATCATTATTCGCGTCAGAGCTCACAATAACAAAACCCTAAAATAGCAGTTGATGATTGTTAGTAATGATTGTTGTAAACATATTCTAATTTCTAAATTCCATGAAATATCCTAAATTCTAAACATTTCCAATAACACTAGGCCTGCAGGTAATTTATGTTTCTTTACCTGGGTCGTGGGTGTACTACAAATAATGCTCAACAGACTTCAGAAATAACGACACACATAATTTAATTGAAAACTTTTTCATCAAAATATCTTTGAAGTGTTGAATGTTAGATAATATAATTGTCAACAAAATAAATACGTAGAGATGTGGATGAGTCAGAGACATAATACACACGGTTTAAAATGCTCGACAGAATTCATAGAAATGAAGACACTTTAAATAAAAGTATTTTAGACTGGATGCCGCGTCAAAATAATTTATTGATTTGCGTCAGTAGGCTAAATACCAGTAATGGTTTAAACTGGATTTGTTAAACATCTTCAAGAACTATCATTAGAATTTTTCACACCAAAAATTGTTCAGAAACTAGCTTGACTTTCCGAGAGAAAGAGGTATGCGCGTTTAATTTTCACCTTGACTTTTTCATTTAATGTTCTAGAGATTTGTTCTCACATAACACAATTTTTTAACATGGAATGTGTTACAAGGAAATTATGATTTTAATGTAGCATAATTACGACAGAAATACTGCGTGATTTGTGTTTTTCAAAAAGCAAATTCTCTAGTATATATAGATATTGGATTTCTAAGAAAATGCAAGCTTTGAGGTTTAATTAAAAGCAAGATGGCAAAAATGATAAAGCGTAAAAATCACCCCTCTAAGCGTTTAGTATATTGAAGCATCTACCATTGGAAGCAAAAATTGCGTTGTGAAACAATGAAATAATTATAAAACAAGCCCTTTGCTCAAAAAAATGTCGTCTGCCAAAATCAATTCTCAAATCTTAAGCTCTTCCTGCATTATAAACTTGTAAAGTAAGCTTATCCGACTGAATGTAGTAAAAAACTGCATACACACTACCCACCCCACCCCACCTTCCAGCTAAAATTAAATAGTTTCCATTCCACTGTATGAATTCTACTGAAAATTTATTGTTTGCCACATCATTCTTAGCTAAACATTGCGTCAACATTTGATTCTTTCCTTTACGGTAAACAGTTATTGAACATCACGTATTTTTCTAGGAAACAAAACTCTGTAACAAGTTTTCTAATAAAAGTAATGCAAGCTGGTACATAAATTGAATTATTACCTTCTCCGGTGGGGAATTGTCAATGAGTATGGCGGATGAAAAAACCATCGCACCACGTTCTTCAAGCTTGTTGTAGCACTCGGCAACGAAATTGTAGCTTTCACGATGTTGCAAAGGCATTGATTTCATTTCTCGTTTGATTAAGTGTTTGGATAGCAATGACTGTTGAATTAGTGGAAGCCATGATGGTGAAGTCGCAGTGCGCTATTCCGCTTTCTTTGTCTTCAAAATCTTTAAGTTCTGCCGACATGTTGCACTACCAGCACAAGACATGTACGAGGCATTGATGGATATTTTCCCACTGTCTGGAGGAGTCAAATCTGCGATCATTCCATTGGATGTTGCCAGACTGTAAAGACCTGCTTTATTCCAGACTCGAATTGAAAAAAAGTACGTGTAATTGTGTTCAATCGTGCAATGCATACAATAGATATCGTTAACTTTTTCAACATATCTTCGTTTCAAATCTTGTACGTTACATCCCCCCTTTGTTGTACCAAAGCAGTATTCAACAAAATCTATCGGACTTTCCACGTCAAGAACCTTCCATCTGCCGACTAGACTTTCTCCGGGACCTAAATAACCCTTGAGTGTTCCTACACTTCCAAGAAGTTCTGTCTGTAAATAAGTGAAAATCAAAGTAATCGATTTCAGAATGGATGAATAACGTAACTTCTTTAATTCTGCCGTATTATTATTTCGTTTGAATAATTCATAATAATAGATTTGTACAAACCAAACAGTTTATGCGTTATACGTTTATCAGACCAAGAAAAACATATGTATAAGTGCGAAACCATTACTTGGGGTCATTAACTTGGCAGCTTACAAGAAATTATCGTATTTTTAAACAGTTATATATTTTAATTTAAGCACTTTTGCTATTAGCTACATGTAACCAAAAACGACAAAATTAAAATTTCTAAAGAATTACATATTGATTTTCCTATTAAGCTGAGCAGCATTGGAAAAAATTGGAGTTGCATGGATTTGCTACTGATGGCGTTACATTTCAAGCGCAGTATCACAACCGTATGAATGTAAACCTGCCATAAAGACTGATAAGAACATAAAGATAATTTTTTCTTACCTTGATTATACGAGGTGGAGATGTATCGATGGTTATACCTCTAGAGAATATCCGTGTTTTCATTCCTGCTTTATTTACCACTTCCAATATGACAAAGTATGTTTGACCAGTTGATAAGGTCAAGTTTTTCAAAGTTACTTTCCTTGTTAATCCAAACGAGAAAACCTTAGCAATGTCAGAGTTACTGAGATTTGTGTCCATCCCGATGCGATACTCCTTTATACCACTTTCAGTGTCGTAACCACCTGTCCAGCTTACATCAAGTGTACTTGTGGACGACTGAAATCTATTGCTTCCAGCAAAAATTGCACCTGGGATCGGGGGCGAGTCGTCTGCAACCACGCCGTTTGATGACGCAGAAGATTTGAATCCAGCATTATTTACGCACACTATTGTTGAAACATAACGAAAGCCAGATATCAAATCAAAGTCATGTTTAACAGTGCCATTTCTAGTTGCATTTACGACAGTCTTTGATTTAATGTTCGACCTCCCAGCGACAATAGCGAAAGAACGTTTTTCACTAACAGTGAGAACACATTGTTTGATACCGGACTCGAGGTCGGAAAAGCAGACCACGATGTGTCTATTCCTAGCCGCGAGTCTATAAAGTCCGAATCTTCATTTTTCCATCAATAACCTTTCCAGGAACTGGCGGAGTTTTGTCTAAACTGAGAGGATTTGAACTGGAAATGACTTTAAGCCCCGCCTCGTTTGTAGCGATCAAAATACCATACACATGCATGCCATCAGCTTCCAAAAACTGGGAATGCTGAATGCTGCCTTGTGTAAAAAGTCCAGCGTTTATCAACGGTGTTGCACAAACATTTTCAATGAATCCCAAGCAATATGCGTAGTTTTTTATTCCTGTTTCATTATCGTAAAATCCGTCCCAAGAAACTGTGTAGTACACGACTTTTCTGGTCTGGTTTACAATGTCAAAAGACAGTTTCACACTACCTGTCGATGGCGGCGTTTTATCCACTATATATCCATTTGACTTCGCACTGCTTTTCAATCCACTCTTGCTGGTACATCGCAAACTTACAAAATGTTTGACTCCCTCCCTTAGCACAATGTTTCTTTCAGCTAACGATAGTGAGAATCTAGTATCAAGGCCTACTTCCGTATATTCCAAGATGTTGTCAATAAAACCCTTTGTTCCAAGGGCTACTTCGTAATTTACTACTGGATCCCTCTCGTCAGCCATAAACTCACCCCATGAAGCTTCAATTTTTTCACCTACGACGTCATACTGCATGTCACGAGGTCCAAGACCATCGATGACGTTTGAAGGAATAGGCCATTCCTGGACTATCGACCAACCGTTCGAAAATCTACTGTTAGACTCTCCAGCCAAATTCCAACATTGGATTTACGTTTTGGTAATTAGAATTGTTAAGGAACATCACTTGGTGAGCTGCATCAATTTTGTGACGTGTGTTGTACGTAGTCTCATTTTCATTCAAGCTTTTGACGTAAATGCTTGTCGAGTTGTGTTCAAATTGTCTTAGAATCATCCACTTACAATTACGGATGCCACTTTCCACATCCAATGCGCCATGCCACGTGACCGATGGTCTCCAATCGGCATGGGCTTTTTCCACGTCAGGAATCTTGCTTCTTGCTCCATCAAAAACGTTTGAGATCTCTGGAGGAGTTGAATCGACAAAAATACCATCACTTGTGTATAAAGTTGAGGAGCCAGCCTTATTTGTCACTCGAAATGTTGAAAAGGCTGTCATTCCTGTCTCCACCTTGCAATCATCGCACACAAATGACAAGTTTCGATTGATGGAAGTGAAGTGCTTGATTAGACAATTGCGAGGAGTTGTACCAACACAGTATTCAATGTTTGCAATTCCACTTTCGGGATCTCTAACGTTGTCTAATCTTGCCGAAATCTTAGTTTTTAAGGATATATAATCAATGTCTTGAAATGAGAATCCATCTTTTATACCAACCCCACTGTTTAAAGGTGGGGTTACATCAAATTTAATGATTTTCAGCAATAAAGACGTCATTAGACCAGCTTTATTATGAGCTCTTACAGTTACGAAATAATCTTGGGTCGTATTTACGAGAAGATTAGTGATAATAACGTGAGTATTTTGGCCGGTCGCAGCAAAACTACGGATGTCGTCATCATATTCTTTGCTTCCAATACCAATTTCATAATAGTCAATTGAGCTTTCTGGATCTTCAAATGTCTTCCATAATAGTGTAAAATACTTAGAATTTGTCATTACTTGGCTTGTTGGCAAATTAGTTGTTTGTCCGGTATATATTGGTGCAGTTCTGTCGATGGCAAATGTTTCAGAACGAGCAATCGATATTAAGCCGGCATAGTTTGTTGTCTTGCAAGTAATTTGGCAATGCTTTCCTGTTGTAGGTTGATCGCTTTAAATTGAGCAGAGTTCATATTAGTCTCATTTTTCCGTTTAGTAAAGGTTATAACGATTGTGTTATTGCAAACAACTTGAACTTCATATTCTCTTATTCCACTCTCTAAATCTTTAAATCCCTCCCAAGATATTGTTAAGTTTTCTCGAATGTTAAAAATTTGTTTTTGGAGCCCCAGACTTGTCTTCACCGTAATTCTTCCTAAAGTGGGTGGAGTATTATCGATAATGAAAGGAAAGGAACAGTTTCCGGAAACGAGATCTGCCCTATTTCGTCCCACTACAGACACAAAGTATTTTACACCAGATTGAAGAAAAATCTGGCTTTCGGAAGTGTTAGCACTGGTTGCAAAACCAATATTGATCAGGGGCTGAATTTGCGTACCAAATTTTGTCGTTCCAATCGCCCACTTGTAATACCACATTTCACTTTCGTGCTCTTCAAAGGTTTTCCACTGTACAAAAAGCGCTGATGCGTTGGTAGAATAGTATGCACTCGTTTCAGATGAAAAGCTCCATGTAAAAAAGGCTTGAGTGGGTACTATTTCACTTGGGAGTGGAGGGTTGTATCAATAACAACTCCATCAGAAGAAATTTCTTGGACATGTCCAGCTCTGTTGAACACACGTAACACAACTGTGTAGTTTGCTCCATGCTCGAGATTCAAAACTGTATTTGACGTCACGTGCGTTTGAAGGCCGACATCAATAAAATCTCGAATCAGTTCAGCCCCATTTTTTAATGCCCCATTGAAATTTATCAACACGGCTTTCTAAATCCCATATTCGTTCCCAATTGGCGCTAAATGTTTCAGTAGACGCTTGGTATTTTACATCCGGTTCAAGTATACCGTCATGAACATACCCGTATGATGGTGGTGTTATATCAATGAATACTCCATCTGAAGACAAACACGACTTTAGGCCAGCGTTGTTCACAGCGCAAACAAGGAAAAAATAAACGTCGTGGTTAACGAGATCCAATCCATTAAACGTATGTGATATATTTCGGCCAACAAAAAGAAAGTTTGTTTTAAGATTATTTTCGTAAGCATCTCTCACACGACTGTAGGCCACTTCATAGTGTTTTATTTCCGATTCGAAATCTTGAAATCCTTGCCACGTTGCGGAAAACTTCGTTCTATTGGATTGAAAGTCAATATCGTCGCTTCCCATGCCATCAAGCACAACAGCATCATGAATTTCAGGTGAAGTGATGTCCACCAAATATCCATCAGATGACGCTATTGGACTTTCAGAGCCTGCTAAATTTTCACTTTTCACCTTCACACAATACCGCTGACCGTTTATTAAATTGGAATTATGTATTCCAAAAGATGTTGCAGTTGCTGGCTTAACTGGTATAAACTGATTGTCAGTCACGTGATAGTCTCCTACAGTGCAGCTGCCAACCGCAAAGAAATACGCACGGACCTTAACAGACTCAGTTTCAAAACCACTCCAGGTAGCATAGACTTCCGATGAGTTCGTAAGAAAGTCAATGTCTTTTGATGGGTCCCGGCCGTCCAAGACCTTTCCTTGTCCACCTCCATCGGGGATGGGTATTATAGTCAGCGATTTTAGTTGCGAATAAAGACCTGCGTTGTTAATACCACGGATATAGAGCGTGTATTTGGTGTTATTTTTTAACACAAGACTTCTAAAAAAATTAAGAAAAATACAAGCACAGATCCAAAATTCCTTTCTTGTCTAATTTTTCATGTTACCTAATGGATTGGCTTCTACCTCGATAAAAACATTATAACTTTTTTAACTTCATAATTCTATTTTAAGTTCATTCACAGAGTGACCGAGTGACAAATGGAAATGGTTTTACATATCTTACCGGAAATCTGCGGTAGTCTTAAGTCTTTTCCCTGGCACATCTTCCCATGTATTTACTTGCTGGTCCTTCTCTGCGATTGCCCACTGGTATTTATACATACCACTGTGCTCATCAATGAAAGGAGGCCATGAAGCAGATATATCTCCAGTATTTTGTACATATGTTATATTCTTGCCATCCTTTTGGACAGTTCTTCCTGACACCATGATTTTACCATTATGAACAGGATGAGATGTATCGACTATCACACCATTCGATTTTACGTTTCTATAATTTCCAGCCCTATCCACGGCCCGAACTGTGAAAAATACTTCTTACCATCATGAAGGCTTACGTTAAGGATTGTCACATTTGTTTTCAAGTCATTCGATGCCCAAGATGTGACAGCACTCCCGTTTTCTTCATGAACAATGTAGTCATACCTTTACAAGATCACAATTCAAATCAATATGAACAAAAATAAAAGAGCAAAGCATAATTAGCAAGAAATTATAAACTTCCTCGTTTTCGTCAATCCATGTACTAAGAAATTTACAGAAAGGTGGTAAATTCAAATGTTTTCAAATGAATGAAGGCATTTTAGTATGTAATATTTTTGTAGTATTTTAAACGTTTAACATAATTCGTGAGTGAAGAAATACAAGGCAACACCCTTTTCAGAAAGGTTTAATACTAACTCTGACAAATTTGTAAACAACAACTGACGAAAACAAAACCGTCTTCTTTTAAAAGGCTTACGTATGAAATGCTCGCGTTATTAGTTTTACGCAACAGTTTTATCAGTAATAGAAAAATTAATTTGAAAGTCCTACCTTAACAAACCACTTCCATATGTACGGTCATCAAATCCATTCCAATTTGCATGATATCGTCTTGAACTTGACTGGTAGTCAATATCATTTGTCGCACCGTCATTCACTGTACCATAGCGTGGAGGGTCTTGGTCGATAAGAACACAATTGGATAATGCTTTTCTTTTTAAACCGGCTGCATTCTCTCCTTCTACAACAGCGCAGTACACTTCTCCTGATGAAAGTACCAGACGGTCTGGTGAAGTTTGGTTTTTCAAACCAACATCAATCAAACCATTTGAAACAAAGCCTCCATTTTTACGTTGCACGCCTACCCTATAGAGGACAATTGGCGTATGTGGATCATGAAATGGCTCCCAGCTCATTGTGTAGGTTGATGTCCAGTTAGCATATTCTATGTCTGCAACAGTACTGGACCCATCAGTCACCAGACCTGCCATTGGCAGAGATCCATCTACAACAACACCGTTGCTTTCTCCTTCCGTATACAATCCGGCTTTTGTAAAAGCTCGAACTTTAAATGTGACATTGCTACCATCCGCAATTCCTGTGAAATTTTACTGAACGAAGCATTTAAATGAACGTTCCGAAAGCTAAGTAGCAGTAACTTGTGGCTAGATAAAAATGGGTAATATGAAATGCTGATCTCGTATTTTTGTATGCCGTACGTTGTGGTAAACCCTCCCCATTTTGCGCTCAGAACTGAACTGTGTTGATATTGAAGATCGTTGAGGCCTAATCCATCATAGATCGATCCTCTCGTTGGTCGGCTGGTGTCAATAGTAACCTCGTTACTGCACACTGGAGTGGCGCGGTTTTGGCGCACATCGTAAGCCTGAACAACAATTTTGTACGTTTCATCTGAAGTCATGTTTAAACCAGTTATCACGTGGTTAACAGGATTCCCGACAAACACTCGTTTGACTTCGCTTAGGCTGCATAGTTTGTTGCTTTTTATTATGGACCATTTGATTTTAAGAATACCACAAGATGCAGAAAAATTTCTTGTCTGAAGGTACAATCTGTCAGTTCTTGATTGAAAGTTCACTGATTTTATCCAATTGGAATCAGTGATTTGCACTTGACCATTAATAATTTCTATTTGTGTTTTAGATTGTGATGGACATGTAAGATACTTGCCATTACACCTAAAAATTAAGCCAATTCACTTTAATTACAAATACAATTGCATTGGATTGGGTCGATTAATGGAGCGTGATTACAAGAAAAATATGAGCAAGAATATTTTTGTTCCTGTTAAGACGCTTTGAATGATAAAAATACATCGAGATTTAACATGTACTATCTTTGATAATGTGAGAAGTTCTATATATAATGTAGCTTCAATATGCAAAATTACCACAAGAACAGCTTCACATGTTTGTTAGGCGGTACAACTAGCCGCAGTTACCGTAATGTTAGTAATGTTAATAATAGTTCGTCAATACACCACAAAACGCATAAGAAATGCGTAGCTGACAATGTATCATTTTGCAGGTATCCTAGTTGTGTCGAAAAAGTATTTAAAATTGACATTTCTGGCTGATCTAGAATGTTAATTTCTACAAAGATATGGCAAATCTAGAAAGAAGGCAAGGGGTCATTTGAAACAAATGTGTAATTCCAATTTACAACCAAAATCTTGTTTTGCCCACAATTCCAGTGTGGTTTGTTTTCGACAAACAAAGCTGAGTTTATAGCTATAAGTTGTTTTAAGTGCAAGGAGCTAGTTCTTTACGAGAGCTCTTTTGGATCTGCGCGTGATCGACGAAGTGCAATTTAAGCAGACAACGACCATGCAAACCTAAGCCTGAAAGTACGCAATTCATCATATTTCTGAGTCTTAAACCGAATAGAAGTCAATACCTTTCAGATAAGTCGCAATAATCAACAGCCGAACGACATACAGTTCCGTTGGCACGCGCTAAATGCTGACACGTTCCATTTCCATCACACACTGATCGTTGAATACAACTAGACGATGGATATGACGAGTTACAACTGTATTTCATTCCCTTGCAAAAACCATCTTTACAAAGGTCTCTTTCTGTACAAGAATCATTATCATTGCAAGGTACTGCAGGACGATTAGACCAAGAAGAAGTAAGTTTTGTTGCCTTGTCGTATATGTTACACCATTTGCATTCGTTAGTCGGATTTAGCTGATGATGGTCATAGTTTTGACCTAAAGAAATGAAAGTTTCTCATTGAACCAAACAATATTTTCAAAAGAGCACTAAGTTTAAGTGCCAAAACACTTTGAATTCTAAGAAAAATTTATGGACCTAAGGATCTTGTAGGTATAGAAGCAGCAACACTTGATAAAATTTACCAATATTTCAAAGTTTAGTTATTGCATAATTCATACATACATTTAGATGACATCATAATGAAATAAGGTAGTTATAAGAACACCCAGTGACTACAGGGGAGGTATGATGTGTTTACCACTTATGAATTAATTTAGCGCGTCACATTTCAGCTACGACCACGACTACCTCAACAAAATTCGCCATTTCCACATACGATCAATGTAATATTTTGCTGTTGTGACTACGTCGCTCAAGAAATCTGTAGCTGTCTGCCGTCATCTAATTGAGGGCTTTCACATGAGCCCGGTAGACGGGATTCAGCAAAGCGTTAAATAATTTTGGTAAATGGAAAGAATAAATACTTCACAACAAAAAACTTATTTAAGCAATTTCTCTATGCTTTGACTTCGCAAATCCATTGGTAAAATTTATTCTTTAAAAATCAAAAAACAATAGTGCTTTTCTGAATGTAAATTGATTTTAAAACTGAGGAGCTATAATTTATTTTGACGTACACTGGATCGTTCACCCATTAGAGTTCGTTAATAATGCTAATTATTCTCAGTGTAATAAAGACATTTACTGTGGACTTCCACTTGATGAAATTGTGTTTCGTATGTTCAAAAAATGTGCATAGTAGGAGTAAAAAATCGCGCTGGCTTTGCTACTGACCTTGATAAAAAGCTAGGTTTGTGATATGTTCACACTCATTTTTAATTTATCAAGTATTTTTCTGATAAAAATTTAATAAAACTATTTGACACTTTGCCAAAGTTTATGTTAAAAATAAAGTTGCTATCTCTTTTTTGTAAAAGATAGAAATGGTTTTACCCTACAAATTACGTATAATGCTGTTCGTGGTGCAATTAAAAGTACCAGTAAACTGCAAAAAGCTGAATGAAAATGTTTGATGTAATTTTCTACGCTACGCTCGTAACGCATTAATCATTGCAAAACATAAACTTTTGCAAAATCATTTCATGCAGACTAAGGTCAAACTTTACATTACATAAAATCATGAGTTGAATTCAAAAAATGGTAGCCAAAATAATCATTTACCGTAAAAATGTCATAATTACCCATTATGTTGCATTTGCATTCATTTTCACTGAAACCATAACCAGAATGTAGAGTGCAGTTTTCACCATTACATGATTGACAATCCAAGTTACATCTGAAAGATTCTCCGTGACACGATCCATTCCTGCACGTCTCTTCTTGAGCATTCATCACCATCGTCACAAGATACCCCATTATTTTTACTACTCCAAACAGACTTACTTGAACCGGGATCACATAACTAGGAGTAGCAATTGAATGGCAATTAAGGGATGTCCAGTCCAAACAATGTAAAATACAAAATTATTGATAGATTAGAGATATTTACATAGCAATCAAACTTAACAACACATTTAATACCAAATTTAGAATTGCATTCATATACATAGATAGAAATTTGGCCTTATTTACATAGTATAGTTTTATATAGTGCAAGTATTTATTTCTACAGAATACCCAAAAAAGGAACCTGCACAAATAATTATGTAGGCATAAAAATAAAATTTGCACAAATTAATTTATTCTGCATTGTGAATTCAAAAATGTGTTACACGAAGGTGATAAGTTAATTGTACTGCCCTACAAGACTACATTCACACGATACCAGTACTAAACTCTACCGGTAAAGTTTCATACCGTTTTGTACTGTTGACACCATGCAGAGTTTTGCTACGTTTGGTGTTGTGTTTACACTACACCGGATTAATGCCGGCTTTCAGTTTAAGTTGTATTTATTTGAAGTCAACCTATTTTTGCTGACCATATCTATCGCCGTGAAGACTGCGTTTGAATATTTTACGCGTCATTTTTAGCATAGAAAAAAGTTTCGCCAAACCATAATGAAACTCTTACGTATCGGAAACGGTACTGTTCATACCGTTTTCAACTGCTACAGATAGCCATACCGTTTTCAAAATAACACGGTTAGCGTTACGGTTTCCTACTTTTCATACCGGCGTCGTGTGAACATTATCTAAAGCGGAACCACAAAATAGAACAACAGGGATGAAATGGCCATCTTTTCTCTGCTAATAAGGCTTAGTTCAAACGGCGAACTTCTCATGTGCCGAACTTAATACAACGCATTGAGTACATGACAAGCACGACGTATGAATCAATTAAGTTCGGCGGTTTTAATTTTGATCGACTCAAGGATATAGCTCAGCTGGGCTTGCCGTGCCTTATGTATTAAGTTCGACACGGCACATTGTCAATTCAAACGTCGACCTTCTCATGTGCCGGAACTTAAAAAAGCGACGTGAAACGAGTAGCGTTATCACCCTATTCGTGCGGTACATATCATACTCAATCCATGATCTAAACCCGAGTAAACTGGCGCGAATTTTATGGCGCTCATTTGTAAACAACATGGCTTCTTCGTCGAGACAAAGCCAATCGATTGTTGACTGTAATTTTTGACAAAAAGAAACGAAATACAAGTGTATAACTTGCAATAGTCCAGTTTGTAACCGTTGTAGTTTGTTTCAAGACGATGAGGAAACTATTGGTGGGAGGCTGGAGTATCTGTTGGATATTGCCCAAATTGTGAAGGGAATTCTACCACCGATAAGCATCCAGTCGAATCACCGGAGATGGAAAATCATTCCAATCCGTATAATTCAAATACTTTTTACGCTGAAAGCCGAGAAACTTCAACACCCTCTCCGTTGATTGGAAGAAAAAGGTTAGACCTAAATAATTATTGTTAAAGCCCCAAGAAATATTACGATTTTCTTTTATTCAATATATCGTATTCGTACTAATATTTTGACCAATATTTTATTTGTAGTGGCTCAACTGATGATGAATCTGAAGTTAATGATAATGACAAAGGTTCAAAAAAGAAAGCTGGCAGGAAAGCCTTGTGGACCGAGAACGTTCTAAATGATTTTATCGATATTGTTGATAACAGTGATTACTACAAGAAAAATTAATTTTCACGAATACCAAAAAACCAAAAGAATGGTAATAAATACGAAAATATTTTGGCAGAGCTTAAAGCAAGGTGCCATGAAAGAAAATAAAACATCGACTTTACTGTGTCTCAAAGACTATGGTGGACAATGATCCATCCAAGGAGCTGCTACGTTTCATGCAAGATGAAGCTGAAGTAGCAAGAAAGCATGAAATTGAAATGACCAAGCTTTTTCTTAATTGTCTAACTTCATCAAATGGTGCACATCATTCCTGGTCACCACATCAATATAACTCACCATTTCCACCACAACCCAATATTCAACCAATGCCAAACTTTCAAACAATACCAAATTTTCAACAAGAACCGAATATCCACTCATCAGCTAATCTTCAGCAGTATCAATTACCAACCCAAAGTCATTGAGCAGGCACTCCAAACTTTAGCAATAGTCATTCAGACTATGATCTCAAACAATATCAATCTTTATAGAAATTATGTATGTGAATAAAAATAACATATTATGGCATTTATTATGCCCTGAAGCACTTGCAATGTTTAATTAGTTCTTATAATTCAGTTGTGTTGTTGATAAAGACATTTCAAGTAATAAAGATATTTTTTACTAATTGCTACACAAACTTTATGTTGTTATACTATCAAAATTTTCAAATCAAATGTTATTTGTGCACAATAAAGCATTATATAATCACATTAGTTAAGATTGAGAATTAGAAAGTACCAAAAAATTAATTTTTTATGAATGTGTTGTTCAATATATGCAAATTACCTTTTTCTTTCAAAAGTCAAAAAAATTAAACCACTTCTCCAGTCTCCTTCTCCAACCAAAGTTTTTCCACCAAAGCATTTCTTATATCAGCTGCTTCTTTGGAAGTTTCCCTGACTTTAGGACATGCTCTCATTTGTAGCAATTCTCTTACTGAATCTCTATCTCGCGTTTCACTTTTTCCAGGGTCTTGTGAAAGATCCAATTTTTTTGAGATAGTATCTTTCTTCATTAAGCAAATGTTATGGAGGACCAGTCAAGCCAGGACAGTCATTCTGACACTTTTTCTATTACTTTCACATTTTCTGTACAGCACACGCCACCTACCTTTAAGCTGTCCAAAAGCACCCTCTGTCACCATTCGTGCACGACTTAGTCTGTAATTAAAATACCTTTTCCTTTCAGAAAGGGCAGCATCTGTATAAGGCTTCATAAGCCATTTGGTAAATGGAAAAGCAGAGTCAGCAACTATAAGTGGCCGGACTGTTTGCTGACCAATTACTTTCCCAATTGCTGGCAAATAGTTTCCTTCCTGAATACTAGCCCACAGCTGTGTGGATTGAAAAATAATAGAGTCGTGTGAGTTACCTGGGTAGCCACAGCTTCCCCAAAGAAATCTATAGTGGGAGTCAACCAATGCCATAAGAACAATAGAGTAAAAGTTTTTAAAGTTGTGAGACTCTTTGTTTGCTTCCTGACCACCTGGTGGGCACTTTATAGAAATGTGGCAACCATCAAGGGCTGCCCAACAACAAGGGAACTGCCAAAAGTGTTCCATATCAATCATTGAATCTTTGAAATCTTGCTCAGACTGTGGCATTAACTGTTTGACAAATTCGTCCCAGAGATGTTCAACGATGGCTTTGCAAACTTCATCAGTAATAGAACATACGGTGGAAACACCAACCCCAGTCAATTCTGCAATTGTATAATAATATGTTCCTCTTCCAAGGCGATACAAGCAAACAGCTAGTCGAACCTCTGGAGGAATGGGCTGTTCAACTATGTTTTTCTTTTCGAGTACGTGTCTTAGGCGAGCAAGAATAAACAGAAACGTTTCCCGAGATATTCTAAATGTTTTCTTGAATCTCACTGCAGAATAGTTAACCCAAACAAGATTCCACCATCCTTTATTTCTAGCAAGTCTCCGACATGATCGAGGCGTTATTGATGTTGAACGCGGGTTTTGCGAGAGTAAACACAGAATCAGGGTTATCGCAGCTCTGATTGCCATTATTCTTCTATTAATCAATAACTGAATAAAAGAATCAGGCATTCTCCTTCGATTTTTGGCACGCTCTAGCATATGTCGCCAGGGGCGGATCTAGGATTTTTCAAACATCAGTCATAAAACGTCAGAGGCGCTCCGCACCTGGGGGGGTCTGAGGCATTCTCCCCTGAGAAATTTTGAATTTCAGAGCCTTAAAAATGCCATTTTCAGCGTTTTAGAGCAATACAAAATGTACTTTGTGGGCATCGTTTTTGCGTAAAAACAACACATTTTGCTTACGTTTTTTTCAAAAAAAAATGAAGTGAACAATACTTGAATGTTTTGCCAAATATATGGTTCATTAGCATGTCTAGGAGCGTAAAATTTATTTTACAATAATGCTATTCAAAAACATATGTAGTGTTTAAAAAGTTGTCAGGCATACTTTTCTACCAAGTTGTCAGGCATAGACACCCCCTAGAGACCCCCATTCAAACCTCTATGTAATGAGTTAAATTAGAAATTTGGTACAACAAGTGACAGTTCATAGATAGAGAAAAGCTCAGACTTCAAACCATGCAAGTTTATTGTAACCCTTTACCCATCTCCACAACAGTGCCAGCAAATTCACCTTTTGAGAAAAAACTCAAAAAATTTTTTCTGCCAAAGATTAAGCAAAAATTATCAGAGTGAAAATTTGCAGTTAAGGACAGCTTAATGCCATAAATGTTTATTAGGCATTTCACTTGACTATTATCTTCTGCAAGGTGTGCTATATAGCAATGACTAGTAGCATTGTATTATCAAATACAAACAGAATGTAACCAACATGTCTTTAATTATATAATTACATGAATGTTAAAATTGGTTCATGTGTCATGCTTACTGGTTATGATAAATATCTTTTCATATGATCAAAGCTCGTTTAAATGTAAATCTGAAATAATTTAGTTTAGAAATTATACTGATCATCAGAAAAATTACCTAGTGATCATGAAAAATACTTTGCTGTTTTGCCAAATTTCAAGGTTTATCTGCATACATTAGAAGACATTTTTACTTTATAGAAAATGCTTTTCATGCATCAATAGCCCTTTGGAATTTATGGTGAACAATCTGGTATGAGCCGTAGATTAACACACCTTTACATCTCTACATTAACTGAAAAGCCCCAAACATTTGTTTATGATAAAGTAAATAATAGTATGGCGCCTTACGGCTACAGATGTTTCGTCCATTGAAATATATTTGCAGGAATGTAGGATTTCGCTGCCATATAACTGTCACGATTCCCCAAGCACTAAAGAAATAATAGCTAAAAGTCCTTCGGCAACAACAATTTTAGAAGCATCAATCTGCTTACCATACGCCATATTAACATAAATCGCATCACACACTCGCATAAATTGACTTTGATATATTACATTCATGCTTACACTTCAGTTGTCCTTTACTTACGATTTTGGATGTAAATTTCTGCTGATAAAACTCAAAACAATGTTGGCTTGCTTTTGAACATCAATGACTGAAATGTTTGTAAATGATGATCGTCCAGGTTAATAAAGTCCTGAGAAGGACTGTTTTTGATGTTGTTGACTGACGTTTCGACAACCTTAGCGGTAGTCATCTTCAGAGTCAAATGAGGAGTAAACGTCAGGTTAGCCGTATTTGTTGTCTGGTTCTTACGTCATTGTATTGTGTGTACAGGAAATGTGCAGGAAATGTGTATTGTCATTGTGGATTAGTGTGAAGTGAAATATTTTATTTTTAGTTGTGATGTGTGATTTAGGTGTGACGTTTTTAGTTGTAGTGTGTGGGTGTCAATTGTGTATTGTCATTGTGAATGAGTTTGAAGTGTAATGTTTTTAGTTGATCGTTTGTTTGTATTGTGAATAAGTCGTTTGTAAGGTGCCGGTAATTGCTGTGATCTGTTCAGGGGGGGTTTGTTCCAAGTTGGTATACCAACTTTCTAATGTAAGCCGTTGTCTATAGTCAGTACTGTAAGTGATGCATTTTGCCGAGTCCCAGTAAATGTTGTGCTTTGTGATTCGGTGATGTTCGGCAATGTGATTAGTTTTGTCTTGTTTCTTAGTAGCTCGTTTGTGCTCAGTAAGTCTTATGTTTAAGTTCCTGCCAGTTTCCCCGATATAGGAGGCGTGGCAGTCGGAGCAGTTTATTTTGTAAACTGCCCCTTGTCGTTCGTTGGGTTGTTCTTTGTCCTTTATGTTCGTTAGTACTTGTCGTGATGTTGTGATTGGTTTATGTGCGACACGTATGTTGTATGGTCGTAAGATACGCGAGATAGTCTCAGACGTACCTTTGATGTAAGGTATCGTTGCTGTTGTCACTGAGTTGTTCGTTTCGTTGGGTTCGTTGGGTTTGTAAGTGTTGCGTTTGATAAAGTCAGAGTTATAGTTGTTTTTGTCAAAAACACGTTTGAGATAGTTGTTTTCGTTTTGTAGAGCGTCCGGTGAATCACATATGATTTGTGCACGTCTTGTTAATGTTCTGATTGTGGTGGCTTTGTGTGATGTAGGGTTGTAAGATGATTGGTCTAGTAGTCGGTCAGTATGTGTTGGCTTGCGATAAACTGTTGTTCCTAGTTTTTGATTGTCATGTTTTACCAAACAGTCGAGAAAAGGAAGAGTTCCGTTTTCTTCGACATCTTTGGTAAATTGTATGTGGCTGTTCTGTTTGTTGATGTGAGTATGGAAGTCATCAATTTCGTCTGCATTTAGTGCTGTGATTGTGTCATCTACGTAGCGAAACCAAAAAGGTAGTGCATGTTTGTAAGTCATGAGTGCCCGTTCCTCTATAGATTGCATTACAATTTCAGCAACTACAACAGAAACGGGCGAGCCCATTGCTGTCCCATGTAATTGTTTGTAGTCCACCATGTAATTGTTTGTAGTCCACCATGTAATTGTTTGTAGTCCGACTACTAGACCAATCATCTTACAACCCTACATCACACAAAGCCACCACAATCAGAATATTAACAAGACGTGCACAAATCATATGTGATTCACCGGACGCTCTACAAAACGAAAACAACTATCTCAAACGTGTTTTTGACAAAAACAACTATAACTCTGACTTTATCAAACGGAACACTTACAAACCCAACGAACCCAACGAAACGAACAACTCAGTGACAACAGCAACGATACCTTACATCAAAGGTACGTCTGAGACTTCTCGCGTATCTTACGACCATACAACATACGTGTCGCACATAAACCAATCACAACATTACGACAAGTACTAACGAACATAAAGGACAAAGAACAACCCAACGAACGACAAGCAGTGGCGTAGCTAGGAAAAATAGTCACTCCCGCCAATCCATCTCGCGCCGGAGGCGCGACCCCACTAGGGGGGTCCGGGGGCATGCCCCCCCGGAAAATTTTGAAATCCAGAGCCTTGGAAACAGCATTTCCTGCAATTTCGAGGGCGAATTATTTGTTGTACAATAATTTATAAAAACCCATTTTTGTTAGCTGCATTCTTAATGTGGCAATCGTTGAAACTGCAACTAGTTAAAAAGGTACTAAAGGTGGCTCAGAGAAACGTTACGCAGGAGACAATTGTCCCCTAAAACATAATTTACTCATCACTTCCCCTGCATAAACAGAAGAAATTTGTATTAGCGCAAAAAATAATATAGTATACGACACTTCTAAAGTTTATAGAGAGAGATTTTCTTAGCATTCTACTTGTTAGTTTAAACTTGTTTAGATTGGGGCAAGTTGACAGGGATGGCTCTATTCCTTAAAGTTAAGCTTAATTTTCTCAATGAAGTACCATGTATTATACGAACAAATATCAAAACACATACTATACTCATCATTTACAAAGAAAGGCCAGCCTCCTGGGTTTTTCTACAAATTTTTCAACCACCTCGTTATGCAACACCTCTGATTCCTCTTTCTTTTCAATGATATCTTTGTGAATAGATATTCTACACAAAGAGCTAAGCCGACCTTGACCCATTCTATTTCTTAAATAGCTTTTTACCCTTTTTAAGCAAGAAAACGACCTCTCTACTGAAGCACTTGCCACTGCCAACACACCATTCAATTTTAACAAATTTACCACTTGACCTAAACTCGACTGGAGATTAAATTTGAAGATGTATTTAAGAACCTCATTACTGCACTCTTTGTGAAAGTCCTTGTCGTTGTAAATGAAGGAAAGTTGACTCTCCAAAGTTTGGATGTCAAAAAGAGGACTATACTTATCTTTGAGAAGATTGATCTTCTCCTGTGGAACTATGCCCTTCCATGTAGTAAATAGTTTAGGATTTACAAGGTCTAAAAACTCAAACTGATTAATATCTTGAAATCGTTCACTTAACATGCCTTTAATGGAATCAATAATCTCAAAATAAAGCTGTTTGTAATTGTATCTACTATCTGCTCTGGTTGCTGGTGGGCCTACTTTTCTAGTGCAGTTTGGTAAAACTCAGTGAAAGCTTGATCTGTGCGAAGTGACACAATAAACTGCTTGAAATTGTCAATCTTGCTTATGCCATAGTTAAAATGGGTTTCCCTATTTTGAAGAATGGAATACAAAATTGTGGACTGTTCTAAAATCCTGTAAAAACACACACTAGAAAACAAAGAAAGCTATCAAGATAATGCAGTAAGCCACTTATTTTACTTAATGACTCATCATCCCACCCAGCTGGTTGTTCAAGTACCCCTCAAAAATATCTAAAAGTTTTTCATAGTTTTGTGCAATACATTGATTAATCTAGAGCGATAATACCATCTTGTTTCACCAGGGCAGGAAACTCAGAGGTGTTTTCTTTTGGGGCATTGCTTGTAAATGTGCTGAATGTAGCTATATTAATAAAAAGATTTTAACAGGAGAAATTGATGAGGCTGACTGGCATAGGACCAGGTTCAATCTATGAGCTGCACAATGAACAAAATGAGCAAAAGGATACTCTTGTCGAACCAATGCTTGAACACCATTGATATGGCCAGACATGACAGAAGCACCATCATATGTTTGTAAAACCAGTTTTTCTTTTATATTAGAATACTCACCAAGTTTATCTTTGACAACTTGTGATATTGCTGTGGCATTTCTGTTCATACTTACATCCACAAATCCTAATTGCCTCTCCATAATTTCACTTGCTT